CTACGGGGACAGATGTTGTGTGGACAGTCAAGGCCTTGGAACCGGCATGCCTCAAGTGTACAATTGAAGAGCCAGGCGAGGATAGCAGCAGTCCCTTCCCGCCGCAGGAGATCTCTTTTGCCAAGCTGTCCAGTTATGTGGTACTGTCCCAGCTTACTCAGGTCCAGATTTGCTTTGCCCTTGAGTATGATGACCAGGCCAACAAGCTGAAGGGCATGTACCCCAGTGTTTGTATGAAAGATACAGTCAAGCTTCCAAAGGATGTCATTGCACTGATGTAGATGCAAGATCCAGACAGTCCTACAGTCCTACAGTCCTACAGTCACCAGTCATATGAATCATTATTGCTGTTGGTCTGTTAGACTGTGGGCCTGTCTGCACACGTAGAGCTTGTAGGTGCAGCTGCAGTTGAGTCCCGACAAATAGTCGTTCCTCGACTGATTTTGCCAGCTGCTCGGCTAACACAGCCAGACAGAGATGTGGCGCATCGGAGAAAACTGACTCTTGCACTGACTGTCAGTTGTAGCTGCACTGTCAGTGCCACAGTCTTGCAGCCCACTGAGCTGCAAGCTCATGTTTACTTTTAAAAGATTTAGGGTGTAGAGTTATTAGAATTTAAGGGTTGGGCCCTGGGGTTCTGGCTCTCGTCTGGTATCGTGGTCGTCGTCGTCGTGTCGTAAAGGACCCCTCTAGCGTTTTAGGGTTTAGGGTTTAAAGAATTTGGAGACAAGGCTCTGTCGGCCTTTGGTTTGGAGAAGGCTCCTTCAGGAGAGAGGGTTGCAACTACTCTAAAATCTAACCTAACCCTCAGGCCTACAGTCCTACAGTCCTAAAAAGCCTTTCAAGACAAGGCTGTGTCAGCCTCTTTATGAAGCTCCAAAACCCTTAAACCCTCAGTCCTACAGCCCTACAAACCCAAAAGCCCAGACTTTCAAGACAAGGCCGTGTCGACCTCCTTTGTTTGATAAGGCTCCAAAAACCCTGAAAAAACCTGATTGCCCAGGTCTGCCTCGTGGAAGATGTCCAAGATGCTGGGCACCAGGGCACAGCGGCTGCTGCAGCGGCACCAGCAGCGCCGATGTAGAGGGGCAGAGTGGGCTTGGAAGGTATGTTTTAAAGAGGCTGGGTGTTCTGGACTTCATATGCAGTTCCGCAGTCTCACTGTCGACAGTGTGGACAGTGGGACTGTGGACCTGCACCTGAAGAGACTACATTCTGGACTGGGGGCCTGCCTAACACTGACACCTTATAGGTGTAGAAACTTACCTGGCCCTGAATATATTCCTTCCAGCAGTTTTTTTGGCTTCTGACTTCAGACTATCCCACTGTCTCACAGTCCCTGGCGCAATGGACGGAGATGTACCTTTTGACAGCAAGGTACTCACATACTGTGAGAGGGTGTCCAAGAGACGCAGAGTTCTCAACAATCTCAAGCAGACCGACATGTATCACCTCGCCAAAGCGAATGTGGCCAAAATAGCTGCCAAAGAGAATGATGGCAACATGAACTCGAACAATATGAACTCGAACAACAAGAAGTCTGGACCTGGTCTCCCCAGTCCTCCGATGACACCACGAGATATTGAGGACATGTCAAAGAGAGATTGGGAGAAACAGTTTTTTGTCTTCAAGACCAGACTACGTGAGTATGCCCAGTGCATGCAGGACTGATTACTTCCTTCTGCAGTCTCACAGTCTGGCAGTCCCACAGTCTACAGTCCCAAGATTGAGAACAAGCTGTTGTGTGTTTTGTTTGTGTTGGTTTTGCACTGCCAGACTGACTGCTGAAGAGGAGGTTCACACTTGTGGGCCCAAGGACTTTGAACTGTATTTGGGACCCATGTACAATAGCCACATGCACACAGACTGACTGTCTTGTGCAGTGTGCATGGAGTACAGTCAGTCTTGCAGTCCTCTACAGTCCTAGAGAATCAATATGTTGAACCAGACTTTTCAACTGCAAGACTGAAAAACTCCACTGCACAATGACTACAAGTCTCATGAGACAAGATCTCAAAAGTATGACGGTTGTGGTCTGCGTATGTTGCAAGGAGTCTTCGGGCAGTGCAGTCTCACAGTCTCACAGTCCATCTACTACCACAAAATAGCAGACTGGGTAGCCTGTATCATGATAGTTGGACTGCAAGACTGGTAGACTGCACATGGACCTGTACATATTGTACTGTTTCTGCTGCTTTCTGCTCATAGCACACTAGCTTGTCTCCCGGTCCTCAGTTCCACTGCTATTCAGTGCCATGGAGACAGATTCTCAAGAGGAGGGGGTATCTGACAAAATGGCAACACGACTGGCAAAGCGCATACGACTGGTTGAGCAGTTTCAGGCCATAGACGTGTACTTTCGCTCCAAGGTGCTCCTCATGCACTGTGACTCACAGTCGACTCCACCAGGGGACCCACCAGTGACACCGAGGATGGAGTTTTCAAAGAGAAGGTGGGAAAAGATGTGGTATGTCTACAAAACCAGGTCCCGCCTCTATGCAGAGTGGCTGAACTAATTCAGTCTGGCAGGCCTTCAGTCTTACAGTCCACAGTCCTGCATTCCTACAGTCCCACAATCCTACAGCAACAACAGGTTGTGAACTGTGGACTACATGACTGGCTGAAGAGTGTTGTTCGAAATTATTTTGCACTGACAGACAACAACCAGGGAAGCCTGATGTGATGAAAAGACCTCTTTTAACAAACAGTCTCACAGTCCTACAGGCCTTGGGGTTCCAGGTTCCTCGTGTCGTCAGTGTAGCCGTCGTTTTCGTCGTCGTCGTCGTGTCGTAAAGGCCCCCCTCTCGTGTAGGCTCGTAATAATGTAACAATCAGTCACACAGTCCTACAGGCCTTGGGGTTCCAGGTTCCTCGTACAGTCACACAGTCCTACAGTCCTACAGCCTTGGGGTTCCAGGTTCCTCGTGTCGTCAGTGTAGCCGTCGTTTTCGTCGTCGTCGTCGTGTCGTAAGGCCCCCCCTCGTGTAGGCTCGTAATAATGTAATGTAACAAACAGTCACACAGTCCTACAGGCCTTGTAGTGGGAGATATAGGCCTTGAAGTTCTCAAAGAAAAAACAAGGGATGTTGGTTGCAAAGGCTGGAAGGAATAGCTCATAATCTCTCCAAGTCGGTATCCTAGTTACCCTGGCCTGATATCCTAGTTGTCTTGCCGACTCCTTACTAATATATGCGAGTATACTAATATACGACTACGGCAACATGCAGGTATACCGACATGACAAATTAGTAGACTAATATGCCAACATACTGATATACTTGTAAATATGACTAGACAATACATGAATATAGCACACATACTAGTAAACTAATACACCAATATACTAGTGTACTCGTGCACCAGTTGTACTACCATATCAAATATACAAGTATACAAGTATACAAATATGTTACTGTTCGAATGCATTAATAATAGATTGATATACTAGTCTGCTACTATACGAAATTATCAATATACTAACATATCAAAACTAGTTCTAGTATTGATACTAATACTAGCACTTCTGCGAATATAAGCTGCGATTAAACCCAACATTAAGACTGACACTGGCACTAGCGCTAACTCTAACACGAGCATGAGCACTGACACTAATTTATAATTACTAATACTGACATATATACGATCACAGCAAACACTAGCACTAATATTATTAAGAATTGGTATATGGGTATATGTTTATGCCAAAACATTAGTACATGAATGTACTAATGTATATATCTGTATCTTAAGATAGTGGTATGTATATTTATGTACATTAGTATATGCAGGTGTCTATTAGTAAAGAGGTTAGTATTCATATCAATACGAATATACTATTGGTATTCGTAGGAGTATTAATGTTGATATTAGAATTATGACTCTTCATAGTCGTATTAGCCATAATATGAGTGTTCTTGCTGGTAATAGTACTGGCATTCATGAATATTCAACAGATTATCAACATCCGTATCAGTGTTGGTGATAGCATTATTGTTAACACCACAGGAGTGTATGTATTCGTAGTCGTAGGAGTATCAATACTATTGCAAATATTGATGTTAGTATAAATATTGTGATAAGTATTAGTAGTAGTATTAGCGTTAGTACTATAATATTATGAACACACTTGAAGTATGTGTCACGCTTTCCAGGCAACCAGGCAATGACCAGGAAGATTCGAAGCTGCCAGTTTGAGTATTGGCATAGGCACCAAAACATGGCGACAGTGACAGGCAACATGTTGAAGTTTTTGCACAACAACCGGTGATGCCTCCTGAAACATGGAGTGCCAGGTTTTGGATGGAAGAGCGGAGCCCGAAAGTGAAATCAGAATCCGTTTCGGGTTTCGTGGGGATATAACATGTGAGAACAAATTACAACATGTAGAGCTAAGTAGATGCTAGGTGCAGAAAATACCGCAAATACCGATGATTTTGTATGTAGGTGAAGTCATGTAGAAATCGAAGCATGAGCAGCAGGAGGTAGAAAAAAACATGGTATGGATCATGGGGGGGGGGGCGTGACCATATATATATATATATATATATATACATGTACACGCTTTTGTGTGTGTGTGTGTTTGTGTGCATGCGCATGTGCGTGCATGCGTGCATCGTGCGAGAGCAGTATATCAAATTTATCATTTTGTACTTTCAGCAGAGTTGGGTGCCGGATTATGCCGAACGAAGCAAACCGAGTGTGTGGAAAGGCCGCATTTAAGCGCATGCCACCTTAACTGTGCGAACTCCTGCCGCATGGATCCACTACAGGGTAAAGCTGGTGGATTCGGAGGAGGGCATGCTACAGCGTAACAGACAAGGTCTTCGGAGGAGTTTGTGTATGTTCACAGTGTCAGTGTCAGTCAAGCACATTTCATCATGATTTGCATGAACGTGGCCTGGAACGATCTGTGATCCGTTTGTTCACTCGTGGCAACCGGTAATCCTGTAGTGGGTAATTATTGGGCACACGGTTCAATCTGGAGCCAAGTCGATTCATAGGTACCGTGTTGTCATGGAGCACTACAGCAACGTGTTGCACAGTGTTTCCAAGAATCGTTGCCACCAAGCTGCACCTCATCGGATCGAAGGGTCTGGGCCGTATCGTAGCACCTTCGTCGTGGCATCACGACGACTTCCTGTAGTTGCGGCAAGCAGAACCAACTTCGAACATTTCCAGATGACGGACGGTACCACTTGCAGGACTCACCCAAGCTTTGCTTGCCGAACTAAGGCTTTGCAGGACTGCTGACGTCACTTGTCTGCAGATGGTACGTCACCTCCCCCAGCTTCCCTATACGCAAGCCTGCGTCGGGTGAGACCTGTGGAGCCATCCTTGGCCATTGGTTTGACTCCTGTCAAGACACAAAGAAGAAGCTGCCGGATTTGAAAATGAACGCTGCCGTACTATAGGAAATCTAGAAGCGAGTTATCGATGGTCCAGAGCTATGCCTGGACCGACGATAAACCTTCGACAGCATCTACATTGAGTAGGTCGGGCACTTGCAACAGGTTGTGTTCGATCTGGGACCTGTCCGAAAGGGCCAGCCTGCGAAAAAACAAACGGCGAAGCAGCCTAGCACTCAACAAGGCGTATAACGAGTACATTGAGTACCGTCGCTCAGTCAAACAATGTTGCGCGCCTTGGAGTTGTGACAGCAGCAGGCACACAACGAAATCAACGACAACAACATGGAATGGACGGAACACCACACACAGCTGTCACCGTTTGGTGATGTGCAGAGTCGTAAGATGCTGCGTTGTACGATATGGTAAATGAATGCCTTCTTTGATGTAGCCACGCGGCTTGACATGATTTGACATGTTGAAGATCTGTTGGTGTTGCACGGCTTCATTTCGAATAGTCTAGCAAGCATATATTCATACGACAGATGGAACTTCTCCACTCAGTCGTGCCTGCGCGGAGAGCAGGTACGTGGCTGGCATGATCTGCTTCAGCTGCAACATCACCTGGTTCCAGTATCTGGTGCTTGATGGTCCGCCGCTCATGAATCCATTATTGTATGTCAATGCCTTGCCTCTTTCGCGAAGACCCACTGACACCAAGATGATTCGTCAGCAGACAGCAGCATGTAGTCTGCTGCCCCAGAAGACCCAAATCTCAACTTCCCGAGACCTGCATTCAAGAAGCCAAAGCATCCATGAAGCTCTGTAAATTTTCTGAAGTCGCCGCTCACCGAGTCAATTCAATGAAATCCCGACAAGTACGATTCAAGCCCATAAGCCGCCATTCCAATATTGCGCTCCTTGTAGCGTTTGTGATTTTTTCCTTGGTTGCCCCACCTGGCCAGACTCGGTGAACCATCCGGTGGACAGCGTCTTGCGTGTTCGCATGGCCCCGGCTGTGTGTCTGGACTTATGGGTAGTGGCCTCTGTACTGGATATTCGGGGCCTGGGGCAATTGCAGTTTGCACAGAGGTCCGGTCATGTGAGGTCTACGCAATGTGATTTCGGGCTTCAGTCGCAGAGGTTCTGGGGCTTGGCGGAAGGAAAGGTGCAGGTATAGATCTCCAAGGCCGGTGCCAAAAGCTGTCAAATTGAACTCAAGTTGCGGTTCGACTCAGCCACGCACACTCACATACACATGGTTCCCTGCCCATATCAAAACAAGGCTATACTAAGTTACTGCAATGCAGCCGTAGGGCCTCTCAGGGTCGCCTAATGTCGCGTATCAAGGTGATTGAGTACAGTTACTTACTGTAACTTGTGTCGAAGGCCTCTCGGGGTGTCTCTCTCTCTCTCTCTCTGAGTTTAGGCTTCTCTTTGTAGCTTTGCAAGATTTGCACCGGGGGGCCGCAGGAACGCAGGACTGACTGCAGGGTCTGCGGCCTGCCAAAGGAGCGTACGGCGGCTTCAGGAAGAAGCCCAAAATGCTGGCCCCATCTGGCCCCCAAATATTGGCAGATTCAGCTGCAAAGCCAGAAGTCGTCCCCGCAAGCACCCAATATGCTTTCCCCCAATACTGCAGGATTCGGGAGCAAACCCAAAATGTTA